TCCCTTCCTAAGTAACTAAGGTAGAGGTATAGCCCTCAGAAGATTGATATGAGCATTAAATAAGTAAGCACACATACAAAGGGGCTGGCCTGTTTTGGGAAGAAAGTTAAGGAATCAATAAATGGTAGTTATTATAATTTTGCACAGAAGATATCTTAGAATTATCTCAACAAAAGACTCCATTTTAAAGCACATACATTCTATTAAAGCAATTCGATGGGGAAATGTCACTATTTTCAAAATTGTATGTTTTCCACTTAGGCACATCGCTTTAAATTCAGTATATGACTATGCAACATAAACCTTATTATTTTGTTTTTATTGCTGCTGTCAGAAAGCAAAATAAACTGAACTCACATTTACCAGGCTCTTACAAGCTTCGGCATTGCACTAGGGAATCCTATACATTACACAGCAAAATCCACAACAACCTCTGTGGTAGACACTATTCCTTCCACTATATCAGTAAGGAAAATGAAGCTTAAAGAGGTGAAGGCCAAGATTAAGTGGCACAGTCACTGAAGTAAGCCTTGTGTGACTGTTACAAGATGGTACCATCGAACTAAGAGCAATCGTTCACAATTCAGTGTAAGTTGCGAAGACACATCACAGGATTTCACGACACATAAATAGAGTTCTTATTTTTATGTGCACATGTGTACAGATAACAATGTCATAAGAAAGTAATATGTCATAAAGAGCTGAAATTTTCTTACATGATATAAATGACATGAAGACTTAACTTGGTTAAGAAGTAACAAATAACTACATTTGATTTTCACTGGTCCCCTAGGTTAAGTTTAATTTTTTCATGGCTAAGGGACAGACTGTCACTAAATTCCTTGCTCAAGTTAAATATTTTCTTCCACCGAGTTTAGTTAGAATTCATGACTTAATTCATAGAATTAATTCATAAATTAACAGTATCTCAGTGCAGACTTTAAGAGACAACTACTTGAATTGTATTGAAAGACATTATGTATTCAAGTAATATTTTTCTGACTTGACAAGCTCAGGCAGCTACATAATCATCATAAAATATAATGCTGCTAAAGATCTGTACATGGCAGAAAAAAATAATTTATAGCTCAACTTATAATAATTTATACTTTTTCAATCGAATCAATACATTTCAAGATGTACTGCATAGAGAATTAGGTAATATCAAGTTGTAAATCCTCTATGTAACCACTTATCCCTTCTCCCTCTTGGATATTCAACCATTTTTTTTTCTCAAAGGGATCACTCCCATAAGTTAGTAAATAGATTCAATTCTCACACTCAGAAACACTTGTTTTTTTTTTTTTTTTCCTTCTTTGGCCCCACATTCCCTAAACACCTTCCTCTTTCCCATATAAATTCTCGAACCCATCTTTTTAAAGTGCTATTGCCATTTCTTCATCTCCACGCATAGCTCAAGCCATGCCATTCTGGTTTCTACCCTCATCACTCCACAGAAACAGCCCTTGCTAATTTCTTTAACTATTTTTAATGATTTAATTAATTAATAATTAATTTTTATTTGACCAGAGAGAGACAGAGACCAAAAGAGTGGAAAAGTGAGAAAGCAAGTGCTACCTGGTTCAGGACTCAAACCACAGTCAGTCATGCGGGAATCCAGTGTCTCAACCACCAAGCCACCTGTTGGCCCTACCCTTGCTAATTTCAATCATGACCCCCCAATGGTAACACATCTAATGGACATTTTTAAGCGGATGTCATATTTAACTTTCGATAATATTCAAAACAGTAATTCTCAAATATACTAGGTAGATCTAGCCCACTCCTGGCGTGTCTACCTACCACTTCTTACTACTTATTTTAGTCCTTTTGCAAGCTCATCTCCCTCAAATTTCTTACTACGTAACGCAATTCCTAAGACTCGGTAAGGGGCCTCCTTTTTTCATTATAGTCTATCCCTTTGCAATCTATCATTTCTGAAAACTGAATTACCATCTCTGTGTAGCTGCTCATAAATCCATTTCTCAGTTTAGATATATTCTCTAAACCTGAACAACCATGTGAATACATGACATCTCCAAATAACTCACTCAAAGGCACTTAAAATATCAACATATTTTATAGGTGCTAATGATTCCTGCAGGACCCCACCTATCCATTCAGCACCCCATACTCAATGATAAGACCATGATCATCCATGTAATCAAGCCAGAAACCCAGGAGTCATCTTTCATCTCTCTCTCTCTCCTATGCCCCCATCTAATCCTTCACCAAATCCTATTGACTTCATTTCCACATATCTCTGAAATCGGTCCATTCTCTCCATCTCCACAGACCCCTGCTGATGTGAGTCACCATCATCTCTCATGATGAGTACAGCAATGACTTTCTAACTGGTCTTCTCACATCCAGTCCTGCTTCTCTCCAATTCATCCTCAAACCGTAGTGAATGACCTTTTAAAAAATGCATAGCTGGGAGTCAGCAGGTGGCATGGTGGTCGAGGCACTGGACTTCCACGTGGCCAACCACAGTTTCAAGTCCCAGACCTGGCAGCTTGCTTACTCACTCTCTCTCTCTCTCTCTCTCTCTCTCTCTGGTGAAGGTATGTGCCCTGTGGCAAATTAAAATGTAATGATTATGATAAAATAAGAATTAAATAAATTTTTTTAAAAATGTATATTTGATCATGTTATCTCCTTTCTAAAAGTCCTGCAGTAGCTGCTTATGTTTTCTTAAGGCAGAGATTAAGATCTCTACACAAGCAAAGGCTGCCAAGTGACATAGTGTTAAGGGCACTGGATTCCCACATGGCCGAGCACTGCTTGAGTTCCAGACCTGGTGGCTTGCTTTCTCACTTTTCCCTCTCTCTCTCTCTCTTTCACTTTGTCTGTCTCTGGTCAAATTTAAATAAATAAATTAAATTAAATTTTAAAAAATTCTTTGAAAATAAATCTTTATATAAGCTCTAAGGCACAGGCAGGGTTTTTCTTCATCCTATCTCCCCAACACTTGTATTCTACACCCGGGCTCTCTCGGCTTTACACACATGTACCATGCTGCCTCCTGCCACAGGGCCTTTACATATGCTGTTTCAATAGCCTCTAAAGCTACTCCTCTGCTTTCCCCCAGGTTACTCCTACTCACCCTTCAGATCTCAGCTTATGCATCACTTCACCAAGGAAGCTTTCCCACTGCAAAACTAGGCCAAATCCTCCTATGTGAATACTCTTAAAGCACTGCACTTCAAACTGCTAATCTGGCATCACCACCATCATCACCTGATAACGTTTTGCTCTTCACTACCCTAAGTTCCATTAGGCAGAGCAATGATAATGAACACAGAATAGTTTCAATGGTGTGGAATGAGAAAGTCAATTAACACGCAAAATCATAGTCACCATTAGAGAATCAGTGAAAAGCCAGCAGTACCATCTCAAGCCATAAAAAGTCCAGTCAGTGAACAAATATAACAATATTTTAAAAACAACTCCAGTTGTCTCACACCAAAAACAAGCCCTAAGAGAGGTGTCGCCAATGTGCAGTGCATCAAAATGGATCATGCCAACAACCTAATCTTGTAGAAGTTAGGTCAGAAATTTGCTTAGGAAAACTAGGGACTGTTCATCCTTACTGATTTTTAAAGTGATAACAAAATTTCAGCTATTTTTCTCCAAGTATATGGAGAAACTTCCATTTTCCTTCCACTGGAGTTAGTTAACATTGAGTAACTGAAGGAGGACCCACAACATCATTTAACAGAGTGTTAACACATGGCCAAGAAGGCTTGGCTTCCACACATTCTTCTGCTTTACTGGTTTCAAGACAGAGATTCTTAATGCGAGAAGACATTAAGCCTGTTGGACCCAGTCAGTCTCTCTGAGTAAGAAATGATGCCCCCACGGGTCCTCTAATACGTCCAAATTATAGATGCTTCTTGGAAGGACTCTAAATCCTGGTAGATTAATGTGAATCCCTGCCATTTAATATTTATTCAAGTCCTGATGTTTTAATCTTTCTCAGCAGACTATTCAATTTAGAAATCCAAGGGCAACAACTTCAGTTTATGCAAGGACTACTTTTTGTGGAGTTTCCTTAGAATAACTTATGAAATGTCAGTAGCCATTGAAAATGTAAATCGTAACCTGGATTAAATAGTAAAAATAAATTTCTATAAAGCTAATAATCATTATGTTAACAGACACATTGAAGAAATATAATAAAATTATTGGAATAATTGAAAACATATAAATGCCACAAAGCATGCATTTACCAAGAAGTGAAACCTGAAAATACAAGAAAGCTAGAGAGAGAATGGGAGAGAGTGAGGTGAGCCATGGGGTTCTCTCCACACCTGCGCGCCCAGGTCATTGTAAAGGACCTTCAGAGAAGTCAGCTGCTCATCCATTCCTTTGGGGTTGTCAGTCTGCTGCTTCTGGACGATGTGCCTTCCTGTTTTGATGACGGTCTCCACCTCAAGCTTGACTTCACTCAAAGTTTTATACAGTTTCTTAAAACAAAACAAAAAAAAATTACACACAGTTGTAAAAACTTGCCAGCTGGAATCACTTCAGAACACACCTTACACAGATGGACACTAATACGTCCAAATTATAGATGCTTCTTGGAAGGACTCTAAATCCTGGTAGATTAATGTGAATCCCTGCCATTTAATATTTATTCAAGTCCTGATGTTTTAATCTTTCTCAGCAGACTATTCAATTTAGAAATCCAAGGGCAACAACTTCAGTTTATGCAAGGACTACTTTTTGTGGAGTTTCCTTAGAATAACTTATGAAATGTCAGTAGCCATTGAAAATGTAAATCGTAACCTGGATTAAATAGTAAAAATAAATTTCTATAAAGCTAATAATCATTATGTTAACAGACACATTGAAGAAATATAATAAAATTATTGGAATAATTGAAAACATATAAATGCCACAAAGCATGCATTTACCAAGAAGTGAAACCTGAAAATACAAGAAAGCTAGAGAGAGAATGGGAGAGAGTGAGGTGAGCCATGGGGTTCTCTCCACACCTGCGCGCCCAGGTCATTGTAAAGGACCTTCAGAGAAGTCAGCTGCTCATCCATTCCTTTGGGGTTGTCAGTCTGCTGCTTCTGGACGATGTGCCTTCCTGTTTTGATGACGGTCTCCACCTCAAGCTTGACTTCACTCAAAGTTTTATACAGTTTCTTAAAACAAAACAAAAAAAATTACACACAGTTGTAAAAACTTGCCAGCTGGAATCACTTCAGAACACACCTTACACAGATGGACAGAGAAAACCTACTGTGGAGATCAAAGAGCATAACTTTTCTCATGTTTCACCTTGAAGGTCAAATTAAATGAAATCAAGATTGTAATAAATTTTTATAATCAAATAAAAAACAAATAGAGTTTATGCTTGTTGAAAATAATTATGCCATGTGTTTTAAATGTTTATGAAAGTACATGATAAACATTTTTCCTACATAAAATGAGGATATACTGGGGTCAGCAGGTGGCATGTTCATCAAGGTGCTGGACTCCTACATGGCCAACTATGGTCAGAGTCCTGGACTCAGCAGCTTATAAAAATGCAGGATATGTTTGCAGGTGTGCCCAAAATTCCAAGAAAAGAATGGAAGAGAAAGGATTATGGTATGGCCATCCTCCCCTCTGCCCCAGGGGGTGATTTCTCACTTTCCCTTTCACTGTATCTCTCTTTCTCTCTCTGGTGAGCTCATGCACCCTACACACAACACCAACACACACACCCAAAAAAAAAAAAAAAAAAAAAAAAAAAACACTAAATAAATTTTAATGGGAACATATTAGGACTAACATTGAGAATATATCATGTTTAAAATTACTTTTTTTGAGCAAGAGAGATTTTTGCTATACAGTGTGTGCACTAACCAGAGAGACAGAGAGAAAGAAAGTGAGAAATCACTCCCCAGGAAAGATGGCCATGTTGCAATCCCTTCTCCTCCATTTTCCTCTCAGGATTTTGGGCACGAATGCACACATGCCTACCATGAGTTTAAGCCACTGGGTCCAGGACTCAAACTACAGTCAACTAATGTGAGAGTCCAGTGATATCACCATTACACCATCTGCTCGTCCCTAAAATTACAATTTAAAAAATTTAAAGTACTATGACTAGAAGAAAGCCAACACTGGCTATTGGAATCTGGATTTTTTTTTTCTTTTATGTCTCTGAAGTCATGTCACGATGAGTATGTATTACTTGTATATAATGAAAATAAACATAAAACTCAATGTCCCAAGATGTATATACAACAAGAAATTAGAGGGCTCTGTAGGTCAGCTCCAGAGTTATCCTCATTCTAGTTACCTTAAAACCAAAAATCTTTACCCAGAAAGTTTCTCAACTCCATATACCAGAGTCTTAACCTGAAATATCTCCCAGGACACTGAACACTGAATATCACACAACAGAGCACTGAACCGAGTTACATGAGGTCCACAACTCAGCTTGCTTCATATGCCACTCTGTCCCAGTAATCCAATAAACTCTTCTATTTTGGCACATATACATCAAAATTTATCCTATTTGTGCACTCTTCCACCCACGTAAGAAACAGACAAGGAGACCATATTTTGAAAAGCAAAAAGAACTCTTTTCAGACTTCTCTTGTCCTAGTGAGTATCCTCTTAAGTTTCTTCCCCATGATTCTCAAGCAAAACACTGATTTTAAGATTATACCTTCTTAGCCACATCATTTTTAAGTTTTTTTTTTTAAAGAATTATTTTAGGAACCAATAGTTGGCATAATGGCTATGTTGCTGGACTCCCATGTAGTCAACCGTGGTTTGCATCCCGGACCCAGTGGCTTAAACTCACACTGAGTGCATGTGCATGCATGCCCAAAATTCCTAGAAGAGAATGGAGGAAAAGGGATTGTGGCATGACCATTCCTCCCCCTCCACAAAGGGGGGTGATTTCTCGCTTTCTGTCTCTCTTTTTGGCAAGTACATGCACCCTATAGCAAAACCCTCTCAAAAAAATTTTTTTAACTTTATTTATTTATTTATTTATTTATTTATTTATTTATTTATTTTAATTTGACCAGAGAGGGACAGAGAGAGAAAGAAAGAACGAACAAGCAGCCAGGTCCAGGACTCAAACCACAGTCAGTCATGTGGGAGTCCAGTGCCAGTAACCACCCCACCACCTGCCAGCCCCATTTTTAAGTTTCTATTCAATTGAATTATAAATTCAAAAGTAAATTTGTAATAAAGCCTTATATATAATTTCTTCTTTCCCATCTTAGGTTTAAACTTCAATTTAAACTCTTTTCCTAGATAATGAGTTTCTTTATGCTACAGTATTCCTGACATCCATTCTAAGTATAATTTCTGTTTTCATGTCTTAGTCGTAAACTTTAAAATCAGAAGTTAAAATTTTACATTTTTCGAGAATGAATTTTTTTAGTGCAATAATATTCCTAACCTCCGTTCTCTGGTGCTTTTATTAATAGATAACTTGGAGCAAGCAGGTGGCACAGTGGTTAAGGTGATGGACTCCCATATGGCTGACCATTCATTATAAAATAAAGAATTCTTTAAAAAAATAGGTAACTCAAATTTATCCTCAAAAAACTTAGCTTACTAGTCATATTCTGCTGAGGCCTTCCCTGACTTCACACTGTGATTATGATGTGTTTCTTTTAGTTTCCAATGTTATATACATATCCACTCTAGTTTTCTTATCTTATTATACTGTAGTAATCAATTTTATTCTCTCCTAGCTCTCTCTTATCTCTTCAATTTCATGGCGGGGGGCAGGGGGAAACCGCACTTCTATTTTTCAACATGTTATCCACCTTCAGTTCTTTGGTTTGGCTTGCTCTATGTGGACCAATGGTCACTGAACAAACCATTTATGTATGCCCCAGACTAAGCCATGATGGCTGCTGGACACCCCACTGACCATCCCCTTCCCCCAGCATCCTCACCATACACTTGTCCAGGTGGCTCTGTATGACATCAGGGTCTACATCCTTCACGTCCAGAACATGAAGTTCTGCTTTCACACCATCCAGCACGCGCTTGCAGTCAAGCATGCGCTGTTCAAAGTTAGCAGGCTTCTGGAAAAGCTGGAACTTCGTGGACACCTCTCGAAGTTTCCTCTGTTTACAGACATGAAAATAATAAGCCATTCACAACAGAATGATAATCCCGGGGGGAGATGGCCATGCCACAATCCCTTCTCTCTCATTTTCTTCTCAAGACTTTGGGCACACACGCACACATGCCTAGTGTGAGTTTTAAGCCATGGGGTCTGGGACTCGAACCACAGTTGACGATGTGGGAATTCAGAGTCATAATCATTATGCCATTTGCTGGTCCCCAAAAGAACTTTTTTAAAGTCCTAAATAAACTCGATGAGGTTACTTGATCACCTACAGGGAAGTACACAGCCCAATGTCATGAATTACTTGACACTCAGGGACTCATTCTCAGAAAAAATACATTTGGATGACAAATGTGGATAAAGTTAGCCTCACTCAAATTAAAATTTCACTAGTTTTCTTATTCAAAAAATATATTGGGTCACCTAAAAAGTCATGACACATTTTTGCACTGAAAAATATGTCATGACTTTCCTGACGACCTAAGGTTCCTGGTTCAGGAACCTGGAACTCAAAATGACTTCGTCACAAGTTTAGAGTGGAAGTCAATTCTGCATTGGCCCTTTAAGAGTGGAGTGATTCTGCTTCCCATGAACACTCAGACACATCATTACTGACAGGAGCTCTGTATTAACGGAAAAGTCGCCACCAAGCTAACTTCTAAACCGAGCTCACTTTCTACCTCAACTCAAGTACAAAATTAAGACTCAGTATTTTTTCACCCATGCAACCATTTGTTTCTGTAGCTCTGGGGTGTAATGCACCTTCAATACCTCACTCCCATCTCACAGTTAACAGCATAAAGAATACCAAAGGGTGACTAGCAGTTAGCGTAATGGCTATGTCGCTGGACTCCCACATAGTTGACCGTGGTTTGAGTCCCAGACCCGGTGGCTTCAACTCACTCCAGGTCTGTGTGCGTGTGTGCCAAAGATTCCGAGAGGATAATGGAGGAGAAGGGATTGCGGCGTGGCCATCCCCCTGGGGGGGTGATTTCTTGCTTTCTATCTCTGTCTCTCTCTGTGTTTCTGGAGAGTGCATGCACCCTATAACAAAAATCTCTCCAAAAAAAAAAAAAGGAATACCAAAGGCACCCAAGTAATCAATTCATACTCCTTTTCACTTTATTCCCGACATATTCCAAAGTTAAAAGAAGCCCTTTGCCCTCTTTACCTGTAGCAAATCCATCTGACTGCCTCCTCTAGCACTCCTGCCCTCAGGGGAAGTGGGGGGCTGAGGACGCAGGTTTCTTCTCAACTCCTCTAAAGTTAGTTCATGGGCTGAGATCTCTGCTTGGATTTTCTACAAAGAGAATGGAAAGAAGTGAAGATGTCTTTTTTTAAAAAAAGCATAAAAAGAAACTTACAAAAGTTCCATGTAACTGTGTAATACATAAGATCCTTTATTACCTAATGTTGACCCCTGATACACACTCTGTTCTGTAGTATAGAAATAATATGGGCTAATGTATTGTACAACTACGATTTGCTATGGTTATGCTAAGGTCTTTGCATTTGTCATGTTTAATGTTCACAACTTACATTAATATAGAAAGAACTGTCTTAATTTCATAGTTTAAAAGAGTCCCACAGTTTGGGGGCTAACAGTGGCACAGCAGTAAAACACAGTGCTCTGTGAGGTTGACCCACATGGGAAGGTTTCTGGTTCATGTCTAGAGACCTCACTGAGATCATCAAGCACATGATTGCCCATGATCCAGGGCTAGGTGATTGTAGAGGTGGATCATGGTATCGAAACCCTATAGAGGGGGAGCCAGCAGCTGGTATGGTGATTAAGGCACTGGACTCCCACATAGCTAACTATGGTTCAAGGCCTAGACCCAGTGATTTGAAAATCATGCCAAATGTGTGTGGTTATGGGCCCAAAATCCCAAGAGGAAAATAAAGAAAAAGGGATTGCAGCATGGCCATATCCCCTAGAGGGTGCTTTCTCTTTTCTTTTCTCTCTGTCTGTGTCTCTATCCCTCTCTCTCATAGGAAGAAGTAAATAAATATATGTTGAAAAAAAGTGTATAATTTTAAAATGTTAGGACCAGAAGATGGCATAATGGTTATATCACTAGACTCCACGTTGCAGACCACAATTCATTCAAGTGCTGGACCCTACGGTTTGAAACTCATGCCAGGTGCGTGTGCATGCATGCCCAAAATACTGAGAGGAGAATAGAGGGAAAGAGATTGCAGCATGGCCATCTCCTCAAGGGGTGATTTCTCACTTTCTGTTTCTCTGGTGAGCGCACAAATCCTATAGCAAAAGTCTCTCTACAAAATAAATAAATAAATAAATTTGTTCACTTGCCAGGAGAGTAATAAAACTACAAAATTCATGTGCTGTTCCCTAAGGAAGGTCAATCTTTCTCATTAACTCTCAGTGTTGGGTGGCAAAAGAGGTTCTCTTGCAGTTAAGAGATTACATGTGCTCCTTTTACGACTCGAAAGCCCTCAAATCCACAGCAATACCTGAGCTTCCTGCGGAACCTGGAAAGCATCTATCCTGTCAGTCAAGTAGGTAGTGAGCTGTTTATCCAGCTCTCCCAAGCTCTCCTGCAAGACCTGAAGCATGTGGTCAGTTTCCTGCAGGACCTGGAGTTGCTTTTCCAAAGAAATCTGCTTGCTCTCTGCCTACACAGGGGAGAGATTTCATCATTAGTCGCTCAGCACAGATATGAAGAGCTGAATATGTAAGATTTAGCCACTAAGAAAAGACTATAAAAGCACTAAGTCAGAACTTTTGCCTTCCTTATAAATAAATGATAACTACTAGTGATAACAATAGCAATATTCTTCTAGTATTTTATGTATCTTATAGTTGAATTACTAATTTTGACGTCCTTCTATATATAATGAGAAAATACAAAAATGTGAACATTTCCTAAGGAATACATTAAACAGAGAATAAAGGTGTATTATTGGGAACCAGCAGTTAGCGTAATGGCTATGTCGCTGGACTCCCACGTAGTCGACCGTGGTTCGTGTCCCGGACCCGGTGGCTTCAAACTTACGCCGGGCACGTGTGCATGTGTGCCCGAGATCCCAAGAGGAGAATGGAGGAGAAGGGATTGCAGCGTGACCATTCCCCCTAGGGGTGATTTCTTGCTTTCTGTCTCTATGTCTCTCTCTCTCTGTCGGGCGAGCACACGTGCCCTATAGCGAAAACCTCTTCCAAAAAAAAAGATGTATTATTTACTATAAATTTGGAGTGTTTTCAGAAATTAGCAATGTCTATCAATAAGAATATAGCAAAACTATCAATAAACAACTGAGTCTCTTTTTTCCAATGTCCAAAATAAGCTCAATGATACATATGTATGCTGAACCCTATCTGCTATATTTCTGGATTAAGCTTGATAGTATTCACGGTCTAACCATCAGTAGTTTTTATTTAACATGCATTGGAGGGACCAGCATTTAGCATATGTCTATGTCGCTGGACTCCCATGTATTCGACCGCAGTTCAAGTCCCGGACCCAGTGGCTTAAACTCGTGCTGGGCACGTGTGCGTGCATGCCCAGGATCCCGAGAGGAGAATGGAGGAGAAGGGATTGCAGCGTGGTCATCCCCACAGGGGGTGATTTCTTGCTTCCTGTATCTCTGTCTCTCTCTGTCTCTGGTGAGCACACATTCCCTATAGCAAAAACCTCTCCAAAAAAATAAATGCATTAGAAAGCATCTCATATCCACCACCTCCCCCAATAAAACAATATACTGTCCATTCCCTAATTTATTATATGAACATGCATGCTGTCATACAACCTGAATATAAAGTTAGAAATTAGGGTTTTTAAAACAAGTTGTGTCAACTCCTGATGGCCATATTTACTTGGTTAACATGATACATTATTCTTACAGACAGCTATACAAATTATCCTTAATGGAAATCAACTAAGTTCACAAGTACAAATAATTGCAAAGATACATTTGGATTAAGCATCACATTCTACATGCCTTTTAAGTGTTAGGTCTGTTTTTCACCAGCATTTAGCATATGTCTATGTCGCTGGACTCCCATGTATTCGACCGCAGTTCAAGTCCCGGACCCAGTGGCTTAAACTCGTGCTGGGCACGTGTGCGTGCATGCCCAGGATCCCGAGAGGAGAATGGAGGAGAAGGGATTGCAGCGTGGTCATCCCCACAGGGGGGGATTTCTTGCTTCCTGTATCTCTGTCTCTCTCTGTCTCTGGTGAGCACACATTCCCTATAGTAAAAACCTCTCCAAAAAAATAAATGCATTAGAAAGCATCTCATATCCACCACCTCCCCCAATAAAACAATACTGTCCATTCCCTAATTTATTATATGAACATGCATGCTGTCATACAACCTGAATATAAAGTTAGAAATTAGGATTTTTAAAACAAGTTGTGTCAACTCCTGATGGTCATATTTACTTGGTTAACATGATACGTTATTCTTACAGACAGCTATAAAAATTATCCTTAATGGAAATCAACTAGTTTACAAGTACAAATAATTGCAAAGATACATTTGGATTAAGCATCACATTCTACATGCCTTTTAAGTGTTAGGTCTGTTTTTCCCCACCTCATACCTCATGCCCTACATGCCCATGTTAATATTTGTTACAACTTGAATCCCTTTAGATGTCACCAACAGTAAAGCTCCATACTGATGGGGTGCTTGGGGCCAGCTCCATGTCATAAGTCCTCAATCAACAGTCATGCAAGTCCCAGTTCTTACCAGGCGGCTCAGATCTTCATAGCGGCTGTTAAAAGCCTTCAGTTTCTCACTGATGATATCATCAAGGATCCCTCCATCAATCAGAGTCTGGCCAAGTTCTCGAATCTGAGTGCGATTATCTGCTGGATGGCGCAAAACAGACTCCAAAGACTAGAACAGGGGTACAAAAGAATGAATGCACTTACTAAGGCAGAGTGTACCAAGGATCCTAAACATGGCCAGGTTTGAAACAAGTCACTTCATTATCTAAAAATCTGCCTTAAAAACAAGGTCAGAAATTATGGAAATGACTAATTCTCATAATATCCATCAGAGTAGAACTACATAAACTTGATAAATCAATACAAATAATATATAATCATATAACACCATAAAAATAATTTTAATAATTATTTTGTGGAGATATGCTCATGACATGATACAAAATTTTGAAAATAGAAAATAAGTAGTACACAACTAAAATCATCTCAACTGCTATTACTGGAATAGGCAGTCATTTTTCTATGGCATATACAGAACACTAGGTACTGTTCAACATACAAACTTTTTATATACATAAATCTAATTAATCATATAAGCTAAATACCCTCCCCATTTTACAGATAGGAAAACTGAAACTCGGAGAGGTTAAATAACTTGTCTACAAACAAAGTGAGTTAAAAAGAAAAACTAAAATTCCAACCAGGCTCAAAATACTTTATGACTCTGAAGTCTCTAATCCAGCACACTACCTTCTAGTATAGAGATGGCAAAAAGGTTATGTTGCTGAACTCCCACATAGTCGACTGTAGTTCAAGCCCCAGGCCTGACAACTTAAAACTCTCGCCAGGTGCATGTGCATGTGTGCCCAGAATCCCAAGAGAAAAATGAAAGAGAAGATTGCAGCATGGCCATCCCCCTTGGAGGATGATTTCTCACATTCTGTCTCTCTGTCTCCCAGTGTCTCTCTGGAGGGTGCACATACTCTATAGCAAAAATCTCTCTAAAAAAATACTAATAAATAGAAAAAAATACACAAGATGTTTTAACATGTTTCTCATGGAGTCTGCTTTATATTTCTATTTTCCATCTTCCTGGTATGTACATATTACCTTTTATGTTGGGAAAATTTATATTTTTAAACAAGCTTTCCATATTTTTCACTCTGTTTGTTTGTTTTTTTTTGGAGAGATTTTCACTATAGGGTGTGTGCGCTCGCCAGAAAGACAGAGAGAGACAGAGAGACAAAAAGCGAGAAATCACCCCCCAGGGGGGATGGTCACGCCGCAATCCCTTCTCCTCCATTCTCCTCTCGGGATCTTGGGCACGCACGCACATGCGCCTGGCGTGAGTTTTAAGCCACCGGGTCCAGGACGCGAACCACGGTTGACTACGTGGGAGTCCAGCGACATAGCCATTACACTAACTGCTGGTTCCCCATATTTTTCACTCTTTTGATCTCCCTCTTAGCTTTATTTGAGAAGTGGCATCTTTTCTCCAGCAGACATCCATCCCTAGAATGCAGGCACCAACTTTCCCTTATGCCTCACCTTCAATCCAGTCCTCCACTTAGATCCACACTGTGCCACTACATTTTTAAACCCTATCTATTGAGGTAATCAGGTGGTACAGTGGTTAAAGCGCTGGACTCCCACATGGCCAACCACAGTTCCAGTCCTGGACCTGACAGCTTGTGTTCGCACTTTTCCTCTTTCTCTCTCTGGTAAGCACACAGGCCCAATAGCAAATTTAAATAATAATAATAATAGATAAAATTAAATAAATAATTGTTTTTTAATAAATAATTTTTAAAAGCCTATCTAATCTCTCTCTCCTTTTTTTTTTTTTTTTCCAAGCAATGTAAATTCATTTAGAAAAACAGTTACGGAGTTGTCATGGGCCACACACTGTGCTGGTAACAGGACAATGAAGAATCAGAAATATTTCTTGGCCTTAAGGAGCTCAAAATCTAGACTTTTGACAAGCTCCTACAACAGGACCTGATGCTGCTTCTACCATCCATCCAAGCCATCTTTAATATCTAACCTCTGGGGACCAGCAGTTAGCGTAATGGCTATGTCGCTGAACTCCCATGTAGCTGACTGTTTGAATTCCGGACCTGGTGGCTTAAATTCACACCAGGCGTGTGTGTGTGCGTGTCCAAGATCCCTGAGAGGAGAATGGGGGAGAAGGGATTGCGGCGTGGCCTGCCCCCATGGGGGGTGACTTCTCACTTTCTCTCTGTCTCTCTCTGTCTTTTTGGCAAGCGCACGTACCCTATAGCAAAAACCTCTCCAAAAAAAATATATCTAACCTCTGAAGATAATGACTAGAAGCCACTGTATGCACAGGGATTGCTGTGCTTACTGAGAACAAGTTTTTTTTTTGTTTATTTTGTAGAGGTTTTCACCTTAGGGCATGTGAGCTCGCCAGAGAGAGAGAGAGAGAAAGAAAGTGAGAAGTAAAGTGAGAAATCAACCCCACAAGCAGGATGGCCACACTGCAATCCCTTCTCCTCTATTCTCCTCCTGGATTCTTGGGTACACACACACATCTACCCAGTGTGAGTTTTAAGCCACTGGGTCCAGGACTCGAACCACCGTCAGCCATGTGGGAGTCAGGTGACATAACTGCTATATCATGTGCTGGCCCCTAAAAACATAACTTTAGTAAGAAACAAGGGTAGCTGTCCTAATAACATATGACAGAATTTTGTCCAGAGAATGATAAAATGAGCTAGGAACCCACTAGAGCACTTGACCATGTTGAAAATGTCAAGTACTAACCCCCCTCAGACAGCTCATCAAGTGAGTCACCGATAATCTAAATGTAAGTGATTATATTATACTTCAGGCTACGAAAGTAAACACAAGTTATACTGAAAACTCTTAAGAAAGTGAATGCATTTGTCCACATGAAGCAGGATGTTATTCACTTTAATATACATTTGGACTCAGCAAGAAAAAGCAATGCCACTTAGAACATAGGTTCCAACCTCTAGGGCTTCATTGACTGCATCTGTCTTCTCAGGCAGGGTCTCTGTGCTCTTCATCCGCTCTTCTAAAGTGTTTAACCAGGTGGTTTCAAGATCCAAATAGTGAAGCAGTTCAATCCAACAAGACCAGACCTCCTAAAGTGAGCATAATGTAGTGGTTAAGCGTTGGGTATAAAAAGCCAGATTCCAAACGGCCAACTGTGGTTCAAACCCCAGCCCAGCTTGTTAGGGGTGCTTGCTCTTTTGCACTCTCTCTGTCTTCGTCCCAATCTCATTCTCATGAGTACACATACCCACTGGCAATAAAAACAAATACATATTTTAAAATAAAGAAAAATGTCCATGAGATGAGAAGCTATTTCGTACATTCTGTCTCTAGTGCTGCACACTTTTTCATCAATACTGACTTCATTTAGATGTGAGTATATGGGGAACACTGAAATTTTAGTAGCTAGAGTGTCAAATAAGTGACATACAATTGAATTATTCAATAAATCATATTAGACTAATAGATGGGGGACAATGAGGAAGGGCAAGAGCCTGTCTAACTTATTACATTAAACTAAATTACAAGTATCTTATATTATGTCAAAAATAAAACTACATCATATTGGGCTATTGAAAAAGTCATGGGTATTTTTGCATAGAAAAACATAGAAAAATGTGTCATGACTCCCAATGGCCCAATAGTAGGGAAAAAAATAATAATAACCACTATTAGTTTCTATTAGTTTGTTTTTAAATAGAAGATAAAGATCACTCATAGCTGTAATATTTTTTTTTTTTGGAGAGATTTTCACTGTAGGGTGCGTGCGCTCGCCAGACAGACAGAGAGAGACATAGAGACAGAAAGCGAGAAATCACCCCCCCAGGGGGGATGGTCACGCCGCAATCCCTTCTCCTCCATTCTCCTCTCGGGATCTTGGGCATGCACGCACACGCGCCCGGCGTGAGTTTTAAACCACCAGGTGGGAGTCCAGCGACATAGCCATTACGCTAACTGCTGGTTCCCATAGCTGTAATATTTTTAATAACATAGAAAATGGAAATTAGCTAGGGCCCACTCAATTACAACTCAAAACTGACATTCATAGCTTGCTGTGCAGCCTTCCTGACATTTTTCTAAATTCATAAGGACATGTCTAAAAGAGTCTTCAAAAAGCTCACAGAAAATGCATATTATGAAAGAACTATGTATGGGTTTCAAATCTTTTTACACCAAAATAAACTTGTACTTTTAATTCCATCTTCCCAGCAACTTTCTCCTTAAATAGAGAGTCACGTGCAGCCAAAATGGAGTTACACCTTCTTCCCTGTGGTACTTGTGATCGCTCACTCCCCACTATTGAGGATTTTATTGCAGGGGGTGGGGGCAGAGGTGGATACACTTATAAATGTATACCCCTTCCCCACTCCCTCCATGGAAGAGTAATCGTTTCATTGATAAATTTGAGAGAAAGAACTCAACCCATTGTGTCTTGTCTTGATCTCTTTTGGATCTACTGATGGTGGGAAGGCACATTCTAGTCTTAGCGCCATGTGAGAAATTCATACCAGACCAGAGGACAGCAAATTTTTCAATAGAGGACCAGAGAGTAAGTATTTCCGGTTTTGGGGGCCACATCCATTGTTACAGATTCTTCTTTGATGTGTGTGTGTGTGTGTGTGTGTGTGTGTGTGTGTGTGTTTTACAACTCTTTGGGAATATAAAAACTATTTTTAGTTAACCAGGAATACAAAAACAAGCCACAGATTAGATTTAAACCCTTAGTCATAATGTGTTGAGTCCTAGTTTAAAGTGAAAAGGAAAAGATTTCTAGAGTCCCCAATGTCTACAAGCCAAAAAAAAACAGACTGAGAAGTCTGCCCCATGTAAGTGTGGCCTCCTTTGTTATGGGAAAGAAAGGACAACTCAGAAATCACTCCTGAAAAGAACTGAACCTTAATCAAGTAGCTTGCTTACTAACTGGTCTCTATTATACGTGTTTGTATTAGCACAAAATTGATCTAAAACAAGCAAGTAATCAGTGATTTTAGTTTAAATATTGAAATTGCTGGCTTTTACCAGGATTTACCACAAGACAATAATTTTAGGTTAATTGAACTTAAATTAAATTGGTACTCATTGAAATGTTTCTTAAATATTTCAAGAAGCTAAAACAAATGTCATACCAATGTAAAAATAAATAGGGAAAAACTTAATTTTATTATCAAAAAATAAAGAATAATCTGTCTCTTAAATCTCATGCCCAAAAGTGGGAAGACAGTCCCTTATCTAAAGTCCAGGAAAATATCACCATATTTAAGTTTTTCTTTTCCCTTCAGGTGACTCTAACTTTAGACATCACTTGAAAATTTAAACAAACAACAAAAAAATCCTCAATTTATCTCAATCTATTCCACCAGTCAAAATTTTTTTAAAAAAAGTTTTAGGGACAGCAGGTGGCATAGTAGTTAAGGCGCTGGACTCCCATGTGGCTAACTATGGTTTAAACCCCAGACCTGGCAGCTTGAAACTCACGCTGGGCACATGTGTGTGCATGCCCAAAATCCCCAGAAGAGAAGAGAGGAAAAAGGACTGTGCTGGGCCATCCCCCTAGAGGGAGAGTTCTCGCTTTCTGTCTCTCTGGCAACCACATGCTCCCTTTAGCAAAAATCTCTCTTTCAATATATGTTGCTTACAATATATTCTAGAATCTACCCTACATCTGTAACATGAAAACCTTGATTGAAAATATTTTAAAAAGAAGAAATTAAGTAACTTGCCAAAGAATTTTCTGATAATGAGGACAGGTCTGGGTCTCTCTCTCTCTCTCTCTCTCTCTCTCTCTCTCTCCCCCCCTCTTCATTTTTATCAACCTATGCTCCAAGAACTCTTTTTCCTTAATGATTCAGTATTTGACAAAAAAAGAGCTTTTTTTCCCTAAGCTATGGAAAATACCAGTACATTTCAGAGTTTAGATCTCAGAAACACATTGCTGAAAAAATAGCATACCTCCAGTGTGTGACACTTTCCTCGAATTCTGTTACAAAGAAGCTGGTAATTCTCCAGTACCACGTTCAGCTCAGATGTCAGCTCCTGGCCACCAGAGGGCACTTTGGCAGCTAATAACTTGATGTTGTCCTTGAGAATCTTCACTCTCACCTCCTTCTGCAACACATCCTCTTTGGCCCTCTGTGGAAGAATTTGAAAAATGTCTCCTTTTCTTAGTAACCAATTTCTTTCTTCTTTTTAAAATAACTAAGCCAAAATTAAAATGATGATTCTAACATTATTGAGTGTTTTAAAAACCAGAATGCTAATGAAAAATGTCACCTAAGTGTCTCAATGTACACAGCCCCACAAACATTTTTTACTTAGTAACCTTAGTGTTAATGTCTACGTTCTCCTAATTTATGTTTACTGGCATGAAGTATTTTAAAATTAAAGGTCTAGGATAAAAATCTAAGTGAGTTAATTTAATTAATCACCAGAGGTCTGAACATAGAAGACCGAAATAAATTACTTTTCACAGAAATTGAGATATGCCATGGTAAAGGTCTCCTTTTAAAAAAAGTTCTTCAAACAATCTAAACATAATTTTCTTTCCTCCTAGAATATAGGTACAATCCCATCCTTCTGATAATTAACAGCTTTTCAAAAATGATAAAATTATACTGGGATAATCTGATCTAGAAAGAGCTGCTTCCCTGATTGCCTCAAAGTTTAAGATGAACAATCTCATTCAAGAAATTGACCTAAAACCCTTTCACTTCCCTTTCAGCTTCCTTAACACCTTAATGGTTTTAAATGTTCCTGGGTCCAGAGAAAGTGATGAAGTGTAGAGGTTTTCAAATTCCTAATGTCTGTTTGGAGGAATAAAAATAAACAGAATGTTGCCTAGTCAAGCCCTTTAATCTCACTTTCTAAATTCTATCTATAGCAAATTTTAAAAACCATGGTCAACTACAATGCCACTAGTGTAAAGGAAGAGAATAAATGAGATCATTCTTGAGCTACCTACCTTTAAAGTGCTATGTGTGTGTGTGTGTGTGTGTGTGTGTGTGTGTGCCCAAGATCCTGGGAGGAGAATGGAGAAGGGATTAAGGTGTGGCCAGCTCCCCTGGGGAGTGATTTCTCACTGTCCCTTTCACTGTTTCTGTCTCTGTATATCTCAAGTGCATGAGAGCACACACCCTCAAGCAAAAAAAACTCTCAAGAAATTTAAAACGGCTCGTCACATTTACTTTGACTTATAAACACCTGCACGAAAATTTCTGTTTTAATTACATTTTTAGACAAGTTAACTTTGGGGAAAAACACTGACTGTGTTGCTAAATCTTACAGGGGAAAAAAAAAAAAAAAAACTCTTTAAGGCATTATCTCCTTTGGCTTGAACACTCAAGGACAGCACTTTGGGGAAAAACACTGACTGTGTTGCTAAATCTTATAGGGGAAAAAAAAAAAAACCTCTTTAAGGCATGATCTCCTTTGGCTTGAACACTCAAGGACAGTTGAAGCAGTGTTAGGAACTTGGGAACCATGCCCAGTTCTTTCGTTGTTATTTAAAAAAAAAAAAAAAGAAAGTATTCAAGCCTATTGACACAAGAGTATTAGTTTACAGAAAACACATCAGTGAATCCAACTGATATCAAATCCCCAATGCATTCCTATAGCTATGCTTACTTAACTATTCTAATAAAGTTTTGGTGTTCATCTGTGTCTCATGTATTAAACAGAAGACTACTGCCTGTAAATAGGGACAAATCCCAACTAACTTGTTCTTTACAAAAATCAGTTTTCAGGGCTGACTCTTTAGCAAAGCAGTTAAGCACTGTGCAGGGAAAGCCGCACTCCATAGAGGCGACTGAAGTTCGAGTCCTGACTCCACCGGCATAAGAGACAGACTATGCACCATGTGCCAAAAGTACTGTTGAGGTGACGAACTGGAGGAAAAGGGACTGCAGAGTCACCGAAGACCCAAATGGGCGCTTAGGTACTCACGTGCACACTCTCTCATTCTCTCCTCTCTTTCTTTCTCTCTTTTGTGCATGCAAGTGACCTCTAGCATATAGAAAAAACATTCCCAAAAAGCTAGGAAATAGGTAACAGTGATCGTTGCACAATACTGTGAGTATAATTAATGCCACTGGACTACACACATGAGAGTTGTTCAAATAGTAAATGTGACATTGTACATATATATCCACCACAATCAAATATATGTGTGTGTGTGTGTGTGTGTGTGTGTGTGTATGTATATGTATATATATATAATTGTTCCTCATACCTACAATCAGATGTTTGTAAGGCATTCTTTAAGTGGCTTCCCTAGGCTCTAACCTAAGACATGTCTAAGGGGTCCTCATGGAGGCAACTCGTGAACCAAGCTGAACAAACAGACTCTTGGCTTCCTTTCCCCACCCAAATCATGGCAGCCATACTTTTTGTTTTGTTTTGTTTTGTTCCATTCCAACCCCTACTGTGAAAGACAGTATGCACATACGATGCTGTATAGTTACATGACTGACTCACTGACTTTACAGGGAGGGGGAGGACAGAGCCTATCGGGCACTGCAGTCTCAGCCTCACCTTCATTTCTTCCACGGCACTCTCTAGTTCTTCCGGTGACTTGTATTCAAAATCTCTCTCCAGGTATTCTTCTTCTGCCTGGGTCAGCCATTCCTGCATCTCCGCCAGGTCTTTCTTCAAGTTTGCCGCTTTCTCCTGACTTTCAGACAACCTCGTTTTTTGAATAGCAATCTAGAAAGAAAAAGTCATTTCCCCAAATAAACACATTTTAATATGCTAAATGTCAACTTCTGCTTTTAATATTTAAGGACACAGTTGTAATTTTCCACAACAAATCATCTGTTTTAAAATTCAGTTAAGAGTTTATATATTTTGCACTTAGGCTACAAAATATAAGCAATAATGAAAATTATTTTATTGGGGCCAGCAGGTGGTGTGGTGGTTAGGGTGCTAGACTCCTACGTGGATGGCAGCAATTTGGATCCCAGACCTGGTGGCTTGCTTGCTCTCTCTCTCTCTCTCTCTCCCTCTCTCTCTCTTTATATCGTGAGCAAACGTGCCTTATAACAAATTAAAAAATAATAATAATAAATAAATAAATACTTTTAGAAACAATATTATTGCTAGGGTTTTATACCACATTTTGAATACTAATTTAATCTGGAAATATTTGAGATTTCAAAAAGCCTGTGGATAAATTAAATTAAAGTACAAATTCAATTGGTGCAACAGATCTTTGGAATTCATGCACAGTTTGTTTTTTGGTTTTTTTTTCAGGAAATGTATTTCCATGAACTTTTTAAAGATCCCACATGGCTATTATAATTTTGAAAATGTTTAACTGTTGGCAGAGTAGTCTCAGATATAGGTCTAACCCTACAGCAATAAAAACATACACAAAGGAGCCAGCAGGTGGCTTAGTGATTAAGCCGTTGGATTCCCACATGACCAACCATGGTTTGAGTCCCAGACCCAACAGCTTGAAAATCATGCCAGGCACTTGTGTGCGCATGACCCAAAGCCCAGGAGGAGAATGGAGGAGAATGAAGAGATTGAGGTATGGCTGTTCCTGCCCCCCCTTTCTTGCAGAGGGGGTGATTTGTCACTTTCCCTCTCATTGTCTCTCTTTCTCTCCAATGAGCTTGCATGCCCTATGCCAGAAACCTAAACAATAACAAAAAACATACACAAGTAAATCAAGTATGGTTACTGTAGTAGTTTATTATGAAAAAAGCAAACAAAAACTCAGGAAGCGAGACCAGCAGTTAGCGTAATGGCTATATCGCTGGACTCCAATGTAGTCGACCGCGATTCAAGTCCCAGACCCGACGTGTGTGCGTGCATGCCCAAGATCCCGAGAGGAGAATGGAGGAGAAGGAACTGTGGCGTGGCGATCCCCTCGGGGAGTGATTTTTCACTTTCTATCTCTCTCTGTCTTTCTGGTGAGCACACGTGCCCCATAGCAAAAACCTCTCTAAAAAATATATATATATTTTTAGAGAAGTCTGGAAATGTTTTCATACAGCTTCTCACCATAACCATAAGCTGACTTTTCTCGTGAAAGAAGATACTGCCCCCAGTAATAAACTAAACCCACACGACACAATCACCCTCCTGCTCAAGCTGAGTTCCACAGCAGCGGCCACCGTGCCAGGCTTGTGTGGCTGCTGAGCTGACATTAACCACAGGCCAGCACAGGGATAGGATGGCTCTACTGAGAGCAAGGGTTAAATAAGAACAGCCTCCCTGTTTCCTCCAACCAAATAAGATCACAGTCATAACAACAGACAGGACCGAGCAGGAGCTTTTCTTTCACTGCCGCCCGCTGTGGCAGCAGGACACACACAGCCTGGTTGCCAGGCCTGGCTGGTCAGCGCTTTAACCTGATGAGCTTTCTAATTACTGTACATGAATAAAAATACAGGATCCTGGGCTGGCCCTATAGTTCAGTGGTTAAGCCCTATCTAGGGGGAACCAGATACTACATGGTCAACTAGAATTTGAGTACCAGCCCTAGCAGCCCGAAAACACACCTAGAGAATGTGCTTGCATGCACAGAATTCTGAAAGGATGGAAAAATGGAGGAAAAAGGATTGTGATATGACCATGGCCCAATGGGTGATGTTTTTATACACGTACACGTGCTGTCTCGCTCTCTGGTGAGCACACACACCCTCTGGCAACTAAAAAAGGAAAGAAAAAAAATGCAGATTATTGGGCCCCACTTTCAGAAAATTTTCTTTCCTCTTGCTTTCTGAACACTAGCTCAGAAAGGGGTCTTCAAAAAGTGGATAGAAAATGAATATTATGCAAAAACACAAATATTTCAAAAATTTTTACACCGGGACCAGCAGTCCAGCTATGTCGCTGGACTCCCATGTAGTCAACCACAGTTCGAGTCCTAGACCCGGTGGCTTAAACTCACTCTGGGCACGTGTGCGTGTTGTGCCCAAGATCCCGAGAGGAGAATGGAGGAGAAGGGATTGCTGCGGTGTGGCCATCCCCCCCAGGGGGGTGCGATTTCTAGCTTTCTGTCTCTCTGTCTCTCTGTCTTTCTGGTGAGCTTATGCATCCTATAGCAAAAAAACTCTCCAAAAAAAATTTTTTGCACCAAACTTAACTCATGCTTTAGTCCATTTTTCCACTAATTTTTTAAAGTCCTCTTATAATTTTTGTGGATCCACAGAGAAATGAGAAAACTAAAGACAATGTAAGCTTTAAAAATACAATTCAAAACTACAGTTATCATGAGATGATAAACTTTCTTTTTTGGCATTAAAATATTTCCTCTGTCAAAATCTCATGAATATAGTGGATGAAATAAACTTCTCGTGTGTTGATCTGTTCTATATGCCTGTCCTTTCTTAGCAAAATAAAAGTTTGGCATCATTAAGTCTGTCCAAAACAGCTGCAATGTGTTTACTAATCAATAAAATACAGTAGTCTGGAATTCTTCTAGAAAATTATTCACACTGCATGCTGTTGCTTCCTTGTTGAGGCCATTGGAAAATTTCCCATACATTTATTCCCATGTTCTGAATAATAATCATTCATGAATATTATTATTATCCATGTATCTATGGATAGACAAGAAGAGAGAGAGAAAGATACAGGTATTTGCTTCTATTTATCTATTGCCTGATTGCTGCTCATTGCCATTTCCAACATCATTTTCCACATTTACTTCCTTGAAAATCTCAGTTCTGGGGTCAGCAGATGGTGTGATGTTAGAGGCACTAGACTCCCACACAGTCAAACACAGTTCGAGTCCCAGACCTGATGACTTGCTTTCTCACTTTCTTTCTCTCTCTGTCTGTGTCTGGTGAGTGCATGTGCCTTATAACAAAAATTTTTAATAATAATAAATAAAATTAAATAAATCATTTTTTTTAAAAGAAAAGAAGAAAACTTTGGTTCCTTCAGGCACATGCTGGCTAATAGAGTCAATGATATTATACAATTATTATTTTCTTAATTAAAATAATAATATTGTGGTTTTTTGAAGAAGGCCCTTATTTTCAGAAACATACTGTTATGGGCCAAGTGTCGTACTTCTCAACTTACTGCTGCATCTAGCCCAAACAAGAGAAAAAAGGTATGCGTACGTATATATGTATGTAGGTGTGTTTTACGTGTGTGTAAAAGAAAAAGGAGCAGACGAAAGGAGAGAAAAAGCAAATGTGACAGGACATTAGCACAACTCTCAGTTGGCATGTACCTCATGTTAACCATCTTTCCACGTGAACATGTTCAAAATAAAGAAGTTGGGGTAAAGCAAAAAGTATATATATCCGACAATACAAATAAAGAAATTTTACTATAGCAATATTAGAAAGCTTTGTAAGAGATCAAGACTACCTTTGAGACTGTGGTGATGCCTGGTTTTCACATTTTCTCAGCTATCAGTATTTTTCACTCCTTTTTCACATACTACAGCTACAACCTATTATTTCACCAACCAATTAGAAACAATCAGAAGAGAACTATATCATGTTCCCATTACCCAGGTGGCTGTCTTCCTCTCTGTTACCAAGGAGGAATTATCTCACAGCAAATCCTTTCCTGGACAGGCTCTTGACCTTCAATGATCAGAAGTTTTCTTTAGAATGATCTGATCTCCAACTCTTCTATACTATTTTTTTCTCCTCCTAAGTGAGGCCCTTCTCTTGGTATCCAAACATCCTATAATATCTCTCATTATTAAAGGGAACAAAAACACCTCTTTGGGGGGACAGCAGGTGGTGGACTGATTAAGGTGCTGGACTCCCACATGGCCAACTGAGGTTCCAAATGGATCTGGAGTCTTGAAAGTCACACTGGGTGCATGTGTATGCATGCCCAAATTCCCAAGAAGTAAATGAAGAGAGGGAATTGCAGTGTGGCCATCTCAGGGGTAATTTCTCATTCTCACTCTCTCTCTGTCTCTCTCTTTCTTTCCAGCAAGTGCCTGAGCCCTATGAAAACAAAAATTAAAAACAAAAACAAACAAACAAACAAGCACAAACTTTGGATCCCCATCTCCAGCACCCACCCCATTTCTCTCCTCTAAATACAGAAATTCCTGAAAATTGTCTTAATTCCTCACTTTCCATCCTCTAAACCTGATTCCCCAATATGACTTTCTTCCCCACACACCACCAAATTCATTTTTCTCAAGGTCATGAAAAGTCTCCATCTTTTCAAATTTAAAGGTTGATTTTCAGTTCTGATTGGCCTCCACAATCCTCAGCATTGGACACAATGAAAAGCTTTCTCTGCTGAGCTCTGAGACCCTTATGTGCCCCAGGCTTTTTTCTTTTCCCACTGCTCTTTCTTCTTATGTCCTTTGCCCCTTTAGGTTTAAGGATACAAGTGCTAAAGAGCTCAATTTGCATATCTAATAGCATCTCAGACTTCACCCTTCCAAAATGAAAATCATCCTTTCACCTGTACCCACAAAAGCTTCAGTTTCCGTTCCTCTAGTAAATAGCACTGCCATTAGCACAAAGTGGAAGTTTTGTGCGTCCTGAGCTGTCCTTGACCATTCACTTCTTTTGCTATCATGTATCCAATCCTTTCTCAAGACCCAGTTCTACTTTCAAAATATTGTCCAAATCTGGTATTCCTTAGGATCTCTACCCTCTACCCTAGTCCAAAGGCCATCGTCTCTCTCCAAAACTGTAATAACCTCATTAGTGTCTCCCTGTTTTCATTCTTGCCTTCCTGGAACAAATTACCCACATGATATCTTCCATGAGCAAGAAAGAGAGCCAGCACTCCCAACAGGGTCCTGACATAGTCTACCCCCAGCCTTACCCAGTCCCAAATCATGGGTACCACATGTGTCTGGAGTACTCTCCTGAGACTTGAACCAGGAACCTTCCCATGTGAGATGACCTCTCAGTGTTGTGTTTTATTGCTATACCACCTCTGACCTCTAGAACACTGTTTTTCAAAGTGAATAGGTTGGAGAACCAACTGAGTCATGAGAAACCACTGTCTACATACTCTGAAAAGCCCAGTGGTAAAGGAGAAAGACTCACCTCCTTGCTGAGTTTCTCCAGTTGGGTTTGGTAGTCACCTAACCCAGCCTGCACCCAAGTTTTGATTCCAGCAACTGGACAGCTTCGAAGGTTAGTTTCTATTTTTTTCATGTCCTTCAGAGATGATTCAATTGTTTCTATTTCATTAACAAATGCCTAAACACATAAAATAAGCACACACTGAGTTCATTCCTATAGGTGGATGCCACAATTATAGTTTGTCTGCTTGTATGTGTGCAAATATTATGAGACTGCCTGGACATTTTAACTACTTAAGAAATATTGTGCTTTAAGAAATTTATCTCACCTGGGTGTTTCACACAGCCCTCTGCCAAATTAGATTGGAAATACTTGATTCTCAGCAGGGAATAGTGCTTTTAATTAACTTAGAGAAGCCTAATGATTTCACTAAATATAAATTGCATGTAGTATGATTAGCAAATTTCATTTGTTAAATGTTGTTCCTAAATCTTCATCATGGGGCACAATAAATGCAATATACAATGGGGCCAGCAGGTGGCATAGTTAGGGCAATGGACTTCCACATGGCTGACTGCGGTTTGAGTCCCAGAACCAATGGCTTGAAATCATCCTGACGCGTGTGTGCAATAGAGGAGAACAGAAAAGAGGGTATTGTGGCATGGCCATCACCCCTGATTTTTCACTTTCCATCTCTCTGAATCTCTCAGTCTCTTCTTTCCAGTGAACACACACACCTATGACAAAAACCTAACAACAACAAAAAAGCAATAGGTAATTATTACCCTAAGACTGTCATTGTAACATAAGCTAGAGCTCCCTAAGGAAGTAAAATTGCTCTTATTTTCTCTATCCAAATTTCTATAACTATAGCCAAAAATAAGAACATGAATAATCTGTCATTCTTTTATTAGCTGTAAAGTCAAAAAAAGTTTACAATGACAGATATTTTATCTGGGTTTAATGCCATGCTGTATCATTTTAAGCTTAATAATAGCAGCAAATAACAAAGAAAAAGAAGAAACTGTAGTTTACAGCAGCAGTTTCTCCAGATCAGCAGAACTCACAGAGCATTGGTCAAGCTGCCTCTGTAGACCTGCAGTGTCTCCTTGGGCAGCCCGCTCTTTCATTAGGAACTCTTTCACCCCATCCATCCACTTCTCAATGACTTCTGAATGAGCCTAAATCGAACACAATAATAAAGAAGGATATTACTCAGTGACATTCACCCTACAACATCTCAGAATCTATTGCTACTGGGGAAAAAAAAAAGAACTTTTCAAAAACTTTGATAGCATCATTTTCATTTATTTTCTTTTTTAGAAACCTTCCAACTGTGAAAATAATTGTTTTCTTCATTCTTAACTAAAATTCTCAAGAGATAAAGCTTAGTAATCATTCTAAAAATTTCAAAACACTCCAGTCACCCAAACTATTGTGCTGAAATGCAAGCAACATCTATGATTAAAGATTCAAACTGTAGGGGGAAAAAACACTTTCAAAGGTATAATCAGCTAAAAAATACTTTGCTCTGATACAATGTAGAACACATTCTTCCCCTAAAATCAGCAACTTGAAGCAGGAATAAACTAATAGCACAGTAAAGAGAATACAATAGATTGTTCTGAATTCTTATCTGATAACCCAGGACAGTCCACAGCCAGCTCTGATCGTCCATCCAACATTTACTGAGCGCCCACAGTAATCCAGTTACTGTGTGTGGTGCTGTAGGTTCAAAGACAAGTGAGAAAGCAAACATTCTGCAGAAAGAGACTTCAGAAAGGAGATAACGCTGGGACTGGGTGAGATAAAAATAAGTAGATTCAGGGCGAGCAGGTGGCATGGTGGTTAAGGATGCTGGACTCCCACATGGCCAACCACGGTTTGTGTCCCAGACCTTTGGCTTGCTTTCTCACTTTCTCTCTCTCTCTCTCTCTCTCTCTCTCTCTCTCTCTCTCTCTCTCTCTCTCTCTCTCTCTCTCTCTCTCTCTCTCTCTTTCTCTCTCTCTTACTTTGCCCCTCTCTGGTCAAATTAAAATAAATGAATAAATAAATAAAGTTCAATTTTTTAAAAAAAGTAGATTCAGCTTGTGCTAGAACACTGGAGTAAAAGTGACAGTCATTTCTTTCCAAGGACCTCCCATTCCATCCCTGGTCAGTATGACCTGTTCATTTCCCTGGTGTTGAAATGAACTTGTTTCCTCATACCTTCTTCAATTTTTTACTTCTTGATCTTTCTTACAAATGGAGATAAATTTACTATTCCAGAAAGCCCTTCAGATTTGTAGACAACCACCATGTCTTTCCTTAGCCTTCTATTGGATAAACATTCCCACCCCTTCCTAGACTCTAGGTGATGATATCTAACTACTACACTCACCAGTCTGTCCAACATGCTCTCTGGAAATTACATCAATTTGTTAATGTCCTTCAAATATGCCACATGGGACCAAGAACCAACTAGTCTTATCTTTACAATGTTGGAATGAACAGCAAAGATGGAACTTAACGTGTATATCACACTCACTACATGGAAATTGTGTTTATCTTTATCACAGGGTTTTTGTTTCTTTTGTTTTTTCTTTTGTTTGTTTATAGGTATGCATATGTTCCTCAATTTACAACACAATTACATCCCATTGACACCATAGTAAGTTGAAAATGTCCTAAGGTGAAAGAAATGTGTTTAAAGGCTGGCACCATAGCAGACTGGTTAATAAGCACTGTGCCTTAGGAGCCAGATCCCACATGGACTCAAATCCCAGCCCCACTGGTTTGAGAAGCATGTCAGTTGTGTGTACACGCATGCCCAAAATCCTGACTGGAAGGGTAAGTGGAGGAAAAAGGGACTGCAACATGACAATTCCCCATTGAGTGGTGCTTTCTTTTCCTTTATCTTTCCTTTTTCTTTTTCTCTCTCTGTCTAGCAAGCACAAACACTCTGAGGCAACAAGGAAATAGAAAAAGAAAATGTATTTAATAAGCCAACAAACATAAGGTAAAATAAATCTTAATTCAAACCATTGTAAATTGGGGACCATCTGTATTATTCACAATATCGTGATCAATTAAAATTCCAAATATTCCCATTAAGGAACTCAAAATACATTTCCAGTATCATATGTTCGTTAATTGACTTCTATAACAAATTCAGGGCTTGAGAGTCATAAATAATAAATTTCTCTCTTTTTTTGTTTTTTTTTTTTTTGAGAGAGATTTTTGTTATAAGGTATATGTGCTTACCAGAGAGACTGAAAGCAAGAAATCACCCGTTGGGGGGATGGCCATGCTGCAATCCCTTCTCCTCCATTCTCCTCTCAGGATTTTGGGCACCCATGCACACACACCTAGCAAGAGTTTTAAGCCACCAGTCCAGGAATGGAACTGTGGTCAACTACATGGGAGTCCAGCAACATAATCATTTCACCATCTGCTGATCCCCATAAATATTAAATCTCACTTTGTCAGGTTAACAATGATAGTTAACAATATAACAGTAAGCCAATAAAATAATTTGAATTTTTAGTCTTTCCACTTTCTCAACTATTTCTCCCAGGTTTCTCTCATCTGCAACTGACAGAGAGATATCATTTTTCTACTGCTTCACTGTTGTTAGGTTTTGAGATTTTCCAAGTGAAAGATAAAGCCAACGACAGTGCCTAATTTCCTGAGCAATCCCCCATGAGGACACCTTGTCATTCCTTCATTAATCATGAAAATTTTTGCTTGGTTTTAAAAATACAAGAATCACCATGATACTAGCATCTAACTAGTTTTCTACTTCCTTTTTATAAGGTTACAAGAGATCACCTCAAATATTAATAGTTTGGTAAAATCAAAATTTACCAAGGACAGTCTGTGAGCATTATTTGATCCAAGTGAGTAGGCATGACTCTCCAAATGTGAGTTTCTAGAACTATGTATCTAACAATGTAGTATTCTTCCTCCCAAAAAACAAATAAAAGAAAGCACTGCATAAAGGAAACGAGTCTGAGCAAGACTTATTACTGGGATCCATGCTGACACCTGGTAACTGCAACAGTCTTTTCTAAGTACATATAAGATTTCTGCTTGGCCACTGATCAAACAGCTTTGCCAGGAACTGACATCAAGCTTACTTTAGGTCTTTAGCTTCTAGAAATTCATGTTCCTCCTTATTTAGGACATACATCCTTCTTCATTTCTCAGGTAAATTCTCACAAGATCATGATGCGACCCTGCCATTGCAAGTAAAAACCCCACTGCTGCATGGGATGCAGAGGCAACAGGAGGAGCTGAGCGGTTTTTGTGTGATGCACAGTTCAAACTCTAATGCTCTCTCAGCAATAGCTTCTAGACTTGCCAGTTGTGAAGGACACTCTCCAACAAAGATGGGATACAAAATAGTGCTGATACGGCTGTACTTTTTGTCTTTATGAATCTTATACCGCCCTGTCTGAACACTCTACACTGCCTTTATTCCAAGCACAGCTTCAAAAGCCCTTTTGGTAGCCCTGAGCACTGCCCTCCCGCTCCCCAGCTTCCTTTTCCTCTTTTCTTTTCTGTCATTATTCACACGGGCCTATGACTGTAATTTCTTTCGGTTGGTTACAGGTATCTTCTGTGTTTTCTCCAACATTCTAAGATCTTATCATAGAAGATTTCTTGGGAATACATGCTCTGGGGAATGAGGGAATGCAGACAAAGAAAATAGAGGTGAAAAAGAGAAAGTAGAAATACTTTCATAGTTAATAAAATATCTTAGAAATTTTCCATGTAACATGTCACCACAGATTCTTCCATTGTTAATCTCCATTCTAAACTTTTTAAGAAGGCATGAGTGCTATATAACTGGGAAATTCACCACCTCTACTTTTGAATAAGATAAACTGTTCATCTCCTAGGCCAAGGATTTTTGAAATTTATATGAGAGCATTATATTCCAAGATTAATCACAATGAGCTCTGACTAATGAAAAAAGCAGTCCTAACTATCCCTAGTCACTGGCATTTGAGAGAAAGTTTACAGCTTCAACTGCCTTCCTACCCCGCTCCTGCCCACTTCTCTCAGATACGCACAAACTCTCACAGGAACACACAATCACGCACACCTTTCCTTCTCTCAATCTAACCCTGTGATGTGAGAAAAAAGAAAGAGGAACACAACAGACACAGCCCAACTGATCATTCCACTGTGACAAAAGGAACAGATGGGAATATGAAAAGCCATACTGTTTTCACTTCTGAAAATCCAGCACGCAATCCTGACCAGGCTGAGTTCTAAGACAGGCAATGGGTCGCAACAAAGAGACCCAGGTCTGAACATCAAGCCCACCACCTGACTGGTCATGTGGCTTGCGAAACTAATGCCTCTTCGTTGAGCCTCAGTAGTTCATCTGTAAAATAGGAATAGGGGCCAGCAGGTGGTGTGGTGATTAGGACGCTGAACTCCCACATGGTTGACCATGGTTGGAATACCAGACCTGGCAGCATGTCTTCTCACTTTCTTTTTCTCTTTCTCTCTCTGACTATCTCTGGTGAACATATGTGCCCTATAGCAAATTTTAAAATAATAATAAATTTTTATTAAATAAATAACTTATTTTATTTATAAGTAAATAAATAATTTTTAAAAATAGGAATAATGGGAACCAGCAGTTAGCGTAATGGCTATGTCGCTGGACTCCCACGTAGTGGACCGCGGTTCGTGTCCTGGACCCGGTGGCTTAAAACTCACGCCGGGTGCATGTGCGTGCGTGCCCAAGATCCCGAGAGGAGAATGGAGGAAAAGGGATTGTGGCGTGACCATCCCCCCTGGGGGGTGATTTCTCGCTTTCTGTCTCTGTGTCTCTCTCTGTCTGTCTGGCGAGCGCAAGCGCCCTACAGTGAAAACCTCTCCAAAAAAAAAAATAGGAATAATGACAAAGACCTTGTCTCATTGTTTGGAAAACCAGAGATAATCTTAAGAAAGAAACTGCCACATGGAAGCATACAATAAATATCAACTATTATTACGAGGATCTCTAAAATAAGTGTCCCCACTTGACACACAGAACTAATTATTATTATTGATGTGGAGCAAAAAACAGTTCAAAGTAATGCAATAAAGGATTCTAAATATATTCAATGTGACCTCCCACCCTTTCTTTATCCCTGCGTCCTCAAGTCCATGATGTAAAGAATAAGGTATGCAAATCCATTGC